GAGCCTGAGTGGGGTTGTAATCATGTAGATCCCGTCTTAGGCAGAGCCTGAGTGGGGTTGTGGTCTCATAGAGCCTGTCCCGCACAAAGCCTATGTGTGGGATGTTTGGCACGAACAAGCATCACTGTTTTATCTAAACCAAATGGAACAGCAAACAGATGGACGCTGGAAATAACGGTTGCCAATTCCACTCCGGCTATTCAGTTTGTAGAGGACTACGAGCCCACCAAGGCAGACAGCTATAGGAAGAAGGTTGTCCTGGATGGGGAAGAGGTCCAGATTGATATTCTGGATACAGCGGGCCAGGAGGACTACGCTGCCATTCGGGATAACTACTTCCGCAGTGGAGAGGGCTTCCTACTGGTGTTCTCCATCACGGAGCAGGAGTCCTTTGCTGCCACGGCTGAGTTCAGGTCGGTCCCGGTTCAGACGCACTAGCCCCGCCCATCGTGCCATTAAGTTCTCACTGAATGTTCTGAATGCTCACATCAGCAGGACTACTACACACAGTGGGCTATTTATGGCTGAAGAGCACATAGAAAGATGCATTCAGGCTTCACTTGTGCGATTTCTCCAGCTGGAGAGTGTGACCAGCTCTTTGCATTGACCCGTCTACCAGTGTCCTGCTGAGACAGATACTGTTAAAAGTACAATACTGCACAGCTACTTTTAAGCAATTTATTAAGTGGTATTTTAAATCAACCCACACCCTTTTTAAAAAATAAAAGCTCCTTTCATGAAAAAAGGGAAGCTGTTGATTTGTTTCACGAGCTGGTGGTCAGTCTGTTTTCTTGTAAATTGGCTGATGAGTCAGTATTCGATAACAGTCATGACGAACACCCGGGGGGGGGGGGGGGGACTTTACCCACAAAGGCAGGACATGGACTAAGTGTGTGTATCCGATACACTGCCAGGGAGCAGATCCTGCGTGTCAAGGCTGAAGAGAATTGCATCCCTCTGCTGCTGGTGGGCAACAAGTCTGACCTGGAGGAGCGCAGGCAGGTGGCTGTGGAGGAGGCCCGGAGCCGGGCCGAAGAGTGGGGGGTGCAGTATGTGGAGACCTCGGCCAAGACGCGTGCCAACGTCGACAAGGTAGGGCACAGGCTGGCACTGGGTGAAACCAACTGCACCACCATGTACAGCACTGTGCAAAAGTCTTAGGCAGTCCAAAGAAATGTCTAAAGCTGTTTATCTGGGAAGCAAGTGTACTTTGGCTTAGAACAAAAAACACAATTTAACATTAGAACATGTGCAAATGAAGAGTAACACAATTAAAAACTAATAATAATTTCTTCTGTTTTCTCAAAAGTCACTGATATCTGGCTAGATGGTTAGATGAACACCGCTTCAGTTCCCAAACCTCTCCTCAGGGGCACCTCAGCTGTTCCATGATTTTGTTAAATTTCACCAACAGCTCAATTAAATAATGAAATAGATTGGTTTAAAAAGTCAGTGACAGATTGACTGTATGGGGTGAGCTAGTGGCCTAGTCAAAAAATACATGGCTGCACTGGATGGTTGCTGCAAATACTGGGGTGATTTTAGCAGAGGTTCTGAAATGGCTACGCTGACACACTTTGACAGGCATAATATCATAGTTTTACACCAACACGAGGATAATCTAAACATCATTTTCTTTGCTTGCCTAAGACTTTTGCACAGTACTGTAATCATGTTCCTTCTGAGATGCATGAGCTTTACAGAATGTTCAGAGAACATCTCAAGTACAGCAAATAAATGAGGAGAACTGGAATGTGTGTGTCTCCTCACCACACCGCCAACTGACGCACCAGTCAGGCTCCTCTGAGTCAAGCTCCTGGGAACCGTTCAAGATTAGGAACTGACCCAAGGCCAGAGCGGACGGTGCCATCTTCCCCCACGTCACAACACAGCTACGTGGGCTGCAGCTTCCAGACCAGCAGATACCAGTAATGGTGAACAGTAAACAGTTGGAGTGATCAGTAACAGCACTCTCCTCCCTCCCTCCCCCCCCAGGTGTTTTTTGACCTGATGCGAAATGTGCAGGCAAAGAAATCAAAAAACAAGGAAAAAAAGGAAAAGAGCGGAGGAAACAAGAAAGGATTCAGGGAGCGATGCTGTTTACTCTGATCGGCGCTGGACTGCAGGCCACCGGACACCCTTCAAACAATCAACAAATATCACAGCTCCCTTCCTTTCACTCACGCTGAGGGTTTAATGCTGAGGGTTTAATGCTAAGGGAATCCGTTTATTTCTTTGATATTTTTAAACATATTTTGATTGTAATGATGTTCCTCTCTCACTTCAGACCTCCACAGCGCCTTGGAAGCACAGGAACGTACCGAGCTGCTCGCAACACTAAGCCTTTGTTGAGTATTTTGTCCACTTTAGTTCTGTTGTTAGGCTGTCAGCACGTCTGCAAGGTCCTTGCAGTCCATCGGGTTTCAGTATTTAAACACGGGGCATGTTAAGTTTGAAGTAGTGTATCTTTAGCCAAGCTGAACCAAATATGGAGGAGAGCCGACTGGATGGGTGCAGTGTGATGGAGGTGGATGGGGCAGACAGCCCTACTCCCTGTGAGCCTTGGGGCCCTTCCCCCCCCCCGCCGCCGAGCCTTTCACATGGTTTTAGACTCAGAAACACGCAGCTGAGCACCTTGGTCCGTTGTGGCTAGCGGGCCACTGCCTCCTGGCGCTGGTCTTCTACCTGTATCTGTGAGGGCCCATGTACCAAATCCAGGTCCCTTGCTGGATCATTCAGGGACAAACAGTAAGGCGACTCTCCATAGACATTCCCACACCCCTGTGCAGGCAGTCAGCTCACCTGCCTTTTCTCCATTTTTACATTACCAGAACTAGTACAATGGTGCTTCACTGTAGACATGGCAATTGAGCAAATACCTCCCTCAATAATGGTCTCTGATTGTCACATATGACAGTTTGGCGCACTGATAAGATGTTCTGAAACTGGCCTCCTACAAAAATGGACTTGAATCTTAAGTCAAAGTTGAAACATAAGGCAAACATTAAGCAAAAGGCAACAAGATGACAACAGGCACAGGTCTAGCTGAGAAGCCAGCAGTTCTTGGTCTGCTGTAGGCTCATTTTTCCTGCTTTAACCCACCGATCATACCCAAGAGTTTTAAATGAGAATCAGCTGAATTGATTATGATTATGCAGAAGAATTTCCCCACACTGGACTCAGGAGTACAGTTTTCACCAACACTGGAGACCCCATCTGAAGAAAAAACAGAAGCTTAAAGTAAAAATGGCAAAATGAGTTGGTGCAGGAGTGTGATGCTCATAGCGACCCAAAGGCTCTCAGTCCTCTGTCTTCAGATCATGGGACGTCAAAATAACGCTATAAGTGTTAAAATCTACCCTTTCGCTGGGATTGAGAGCCTGCAGGGATTGTCGTTTGTGTAATCAGTAATCAGATTGTTTCTTCCATTTGGTCCTCTGTGAAAAACAAAACACTAAATGACCAGAGAACAAGCCTTAAATCAAGTGCCTGCTTGATTTCTCAAGGGCTAACGACACCCAAGTCAGGGAGTATCGCGTTTGGCATGACGCATGGTGCTGCCCGCTAACTCGGCGGCTCAGCCAAGGATGAATGAGTGAGTTCAGGTAGAACAAAAGATGGCACATGCAGGACCAGGGCAAAACCTCTATGTTTACAGAGCTGCACGTTTTCAGTGCTTTGAAGATAATGTAAAAGGTAGTTTAGAGACAGGGCTTCACTGAGCTGCGACACAAAGGGCTTCCCCCAGCACACTGCAGCCCTGTGCTATTCTGGGGCGGTCGCCGGTAAGCCATCAGTAACATGCTGACCGATGACTCTGCTCACATTCCTAGAATCACTGGTGCTGCTCTAACGACGTCATATTCACAAGAATTCGCAGTGTCAGAATTCTAACCCCATGTCTTACTGTCGTGTTCAGTTTCCAAAAAGGGAAGCAAGGTTAAATTTTACATTCCCAGATTTCCGATGCATCCATCCATCTTCTGCCTATCCTAGGGCGGGGACCACCCTGGACTGGATGAAATTTTTGATGCAAAATGCCCCAAAATCCATTATCAGCTTTTTACTACAAAAATACGTATTGCTGTCCATTTCCAGCTCCATTAATATTTGTTAAAATGCAAACATTAATGTGCTACATCCAGATCTTGCCCTTCTGTATGCACAGTAGCATCGTCTCTGGCTGTGAGGAGACGTCGCTTCTCACATGAAGGACCCAGGGCAGGAGAACTCTGCAGCCTGCCTCCGCTTTCCGTTTGAGGATTTTTCAGTCACACGTCCCACTTGACGTCCCTGCTGCAGTTTGTAAGGGGCGATCAGCTGTGAACAATCCGCTCAATTCAACAAAGCAGGGCCCTCTGACCCGACGGAACCATGAAGTCACCTCAAGACATTTCAAAGCTGAAACACTATTTGTATGATTTTTCTGCTGGCTGTTTTTAATGAATATTACTGTTGCCAAATAAATATTTTTTCCCATGTTAGCCTGTCTGTTACCCTTAAATGTGTATCCTCAGATTCTGCCAAAATGCACCTTCCAACCTTTATGGCGTCTCCCACTCTTACACAAAGATGGCAGTGTGGGCAGTTGTCATGCGAAACAGAACAATGTCACAGATCCACGAGTGTCACCAGTCACAGATCAAACGAGTCAACAGGATGTATGAGTGTGAACGTTTTACTTAGAAACGCTACATTGTAAAAAACTAAAATATAAACCAGCTCTGTGAGCTTCTTTACACCTAGATGATGCTTAAAATGTACAAAGGGGTGACAAAATACAAAACAAAACAATAAATACACTGAGTGAGCTACAGCGAATTGCACTTACAAAGTGAAGGTTCTAGAAGCATTAGGGAGAAGCACATTTCATAACAGCAATCCGTGCTTTATGGTCCGAGGGGCGGTGCCAAACATTCCCAAGCTCAGCCTCCTCAGTGATAGGGTGTGTGTGCTTTTCCAGCTTATGAATTCCGAATGACACAATGAATCCCAGTTAGCTGAGACTCACTGCCCTGTGACCGGCGTATGGCCTTTGGGCTAAACGGTCACCTGTCACAGTGCAGCTATATAGCACAGTGAGCTACGCGTTTCAGTTTCCATGGTTATATGATACTAAGGCAGATAAGATTATTGCATAATATACAGAGGAAACAATTCCATTTGCTTTAGACGTATTTGCATCACCACCCCCTTGCATGAAGGTCTAACGGAGTATCAACACAGTCGCACAATTATTCAGAAACAACTCTAGTGCCGGAATTACAACAGAGTACAATCCAAGCAGGACAGACGCTACAGAGGTGCCTACGGCATGCCATAGGGCAGTGATTTGGGGTACAGCTGCAGCCGTCCCCTGGGACTTCGTCAAGGTCTCCAGGCTGTGTCAGGGTCAGCTCTGGGTCACCTGGTCCGTGGCAGCAGGTCTGAGGTGGCACGTTCCCAAGACCTCAGTGAGAACGAGTGGAATGCAACTGGAATGTGGTCTGGCCCCGGAGCTGGAGGCCTTATCTCATTCTCTAATGAAAGGTTTAGTATTTCCATGCCTATTTTCAAATTCCCCACATTACTATCATCAGTAACCCTAGAAGCAGTATATCAGGAGGCTTATGGAAATGCCATAGTCCACGGTGTGCATAAAAATAAGAATTAAAAACCTTCTAAGATCTTCCAAATGGAATGTAGCTGAAAGGAAGGGCACCCGGCCAGGTGGACAGGGAGGTGTATGATGATCTGTGATGGAGAGGCAGGCGCCCCAGAAGCCCTCAGAGCTCGGTGGTCAGCAGGCGTGTGGATTTGGGGTACTCCTCTTTTCTCACCGTGCTGGTGGACACACAAGCTGCTAGTTAGCAATTGTAACTCACCACTTCTCCTTGGTGCAGCAGGGTTAAAGTCCAGCAACATGGAGGTTGCCCACATCATACTGAGGAAACGAGTACCTGATCACAAAACGTGCGTGAGACATTTGGGGTTGAGCGCCTCCATCGGGATGGAGAGGAGCAGCATTCGCAACATCGTAGTCGTCCAGAAGGCCATTAGTAAAAACACCCGTCTGTCCAAATGGGGCAGGGGGGTCAGAGGTCATCAGGGGAAGGGTGGGGGGATGAGGAGGTTTCTGCTGAGCTGAACTCACTGCAGCCGTGGGCACGATCCAGCGCGGCATGATGACGGCTTTGGGCTGCGCGGATCATAGAGAGGGAGCTGGTGAGAATCTGGGGCGTAAACCCAGACACCTTGGGCGTGTGCGACCAGCACCGACACAGACTCACCACCGGGGGGGGCTCTGAGAAGTCGATCAGATTATCGCACAGGGGGGCCATCGGCTGCTCTGGCTCCACCGAGGTCACCTGTGTCTCGAGAAGCTGCGCAGATGGCGGAGACGCCGGCACGACGCGCTGTGTCACGTCCACCGACGCACCCGCCGGTGACGCCTTTGCCATGATGGCCGGGGCCTCATTCACGGGGACAGTAGGCAGGTGGGAAGCCGCGTCGTCAGCTTGCACCTCCTCGCCGCGGACGGCGGGGCAGTTCAGGTCCCTTAATCACACACAGGGTTCAGAAGTGGTGCTCAAGCTCAACAATTTGGACAAAGCTTCTAATGACATACTTTATGACATAATTTGGACTGCCTGATACAATTTTTATATCGTCTCACACACAGCAACCGGATGGTTAAAATCAGGAAGGGCCGGCTCGCACACTGAATGAAGGGGGGGGCGGGCATTAGGGCAGGATGTAAGCCCCCACAAGCCCAAGACCTGCACGGCTTTGGAGGGCAGGTCTGAGGGGAAGCAGAGCCACAGCTAACAGAGACAGCAAGAAATAAAAAGGCCCGTCAACGACGTTGCTGCTAAACCGAAGCAGTTTCCTGTGCTGTGATGATGCCGTTTTTACCATTTCCATTCAGGCGAGCTCCTTACACGCGTACACACACAGTCGCACGCGTACACACACAGTCGCACGCGTACACACACACACACACACCTCCCTGCCAAGTCTGCAGGAAGCCAATTGTCACGGGTCTGCTAAAATTCCAAAGGGAGTCGGGGTGTGAAATTGCCACATCCCTCATCCACATGAGAGGAGCTACAGCAGATACAGTCAGCGCCAGGGATCTTTATAAGATCCTTCTCTCCCCAAAAAGCACCGGAGGACCAGCCGGCAGGGGGACTGGCCTGATCACAACTTCCAGCCCTGGTCCTTCAAGAAGGTTGGAGAAAGCTCTACCACACTCCTAGAATCCATGTTCCTGGGTCTGGAGCCAGTATCGGGCCTTTGAAGTGGGGAGGGGGCAGCGCCAAGGGTGTTTATGGGGCAATTAGGGCCCATTCACCTTGACTTTGAATGAAGATTGTTTCCGGAGTCTTGTTGGCACATGCAGAATGACCAATTGTGATGCTCGCAGGGACGACCTGGTCCAGCCACCCATCTGGCGATGCATTGTGATGTTCTGAGGCCAAACAGGCCCATGGGCATTTAAACAGAGGGTGCTAACTAGCATGCTTCTCATGTCACCAAGTCTGGCAGCAATGTGGCCGAAGGCAAGGACCCAAAAAGATACTGATCTCACTGACTTAATAGTGCTCCTTTATTAACCGACGCTCTGCCCAATGTCCATAACATCGACCCAACACCATCAGTAGCTTGGGGGGGTGCTGTTGTTCAACCTATTCTGAGCCAAACATCACCAAACAAAACATACAATATCTATCCATCCATCTATCTAGCAGATTAAAAAAAAAATCTAGGTGACATACATTTCAGAAAGGGTCATACAGTCCCTGGGGTAACTGGGGGCTAAGCATTTTGCTCAAAGGCCCAACTCTGCTGACCCTAAGACGTGAATCGGCAACCTTCTGATCATGGGTACAACGGCCCACCTTGACATATATAGACACTATGTAACATCATTTAGATCTGACATTATACACTGGGACCCTTTTCTCATTATATAAACCATTCGGTTTAACAATGAGTCGTGTTTTTAGTTGCAAATACATCTGTACAGGTGTGCTGCTCTTTGAGGAAGCAAGAAGGCACTCTGGTGCAGCTATATGGGCAGAACAGACTAAAGACGGAAGGTGCCACCTACTGGCTGAAATGAAGATGTGCAGCTTCGACAGCTTCATGGAGACCCTGTCTCATAATTCAGTAACTCTCGCTGATTTTCATGCAGCACGAACAGTGTAAACAGCAGAGATACGTTGCCCTTGATAAACTGTCATTAAAATGATAGACTTTCACTGCCCTGCTTACACTGGATAGGTATCAATCAGCAGCAGGGTGTGCAGCCATGGGCTTAATGGCATGGGCCACGTCAGTCTGCATGTTAACAAAATACAGCGCTAATCTCTAGCACAGTTTTATTTTTACTGAGACTGATAAAGTGACCTTTCTCTACAATTCTTTATGTAAACATCAGCAGAATGAAACTGATACCATGGTGTAACCGATGTCCCAGTATGACCACCAGAGGGCAGCACACAACCAAGAGGAAATTTCCACAGTGTTTATTGTGTGTGTGTGTGTGTGAGGGGGGGGGGGGTGGTTCCAGTGCCTCATTGGCTACACAAAAACCCCATTCAAAAAAAGGTCTTATTCCCTGTACAAGGGACTGCAGCCAGGACCTCCACCTCATCTACAGCTCCTGGAATATCCACAGGATAAGATGATCTGAGATCAGTGTGGACTGCCCCCGGAGGCTCACCTCGGCCAGGCACAGGGCAGGGCAGCCTGTACCTTCAGCTCCCGGGACCCCTGGTGCTCAGGCTGCCTGCTGGTGGACGGGGAGGGGGCCCCACCAGACCCCTTGGTGCTGAGAGAAGCAAAGGGAACAGTATATCCATAACCTGAGTACAGGGGGGCTCATCGCATCCGGGACACAGGGGGTGCTGTTCTTTCAGTACTCTGTGGTGGGATTACAGCCCTTATTAGGAAATGAGTTGCCCCCCCCCCAAACAGTGTCAGGTCAACACACTAAGTAAAGAGCATCTGAATGACCTGGAGTCTGGACCTGGTTCTGGCCGGCTGGCTTCCTGCAGAAAGCAGCAGCTAGTGTGTGTTCAAAAGCTCATTATCCCATTGTTAACAATCCTGGAAGTCAGGGCCGGGCTGGGGCGGGGCAGGTCGCGGGTGACATCACAGCCCAGGCTATTCGCGGCGGTAAGGAGCTTTGCAGCGGGATGCTGGTGAGCACACAGCCACCGGAGGGCATACCTGGCTGCCTGCTCCTGCAGGTTACAGTTCTTCTCTCCCATGGGTGCGTGCTCGTCCCTGAAGCCCTGGGAGGGAAGGACTATGTTCGAGGTTTGCCAGTTTAACAGGGAGCAGCACTGTTCATCACGCTTGAAGGACACTCACAGCGATGTCACTCTCTGCTGCCTGGCCCCCCGCTACCTTGAGGGCGGCTTCTGCTTGAGCTTTGAGGATGTTGCTCTTCAGCTCCTCTGGGGGGCGCAGTGGAGATACCCCGCTGAGGCACTTCTCAGTCAGCTTCTCCACATCCCCCTGAGGGGCAGAAAACTTCAAGTCCCCGAGACTGAATGGCCCTCAGGGGCCGACAGATGATTCAAAGGGCCACAGTCTATCCTGAGGCTGCAGTAACCCATTTTCCCTCAGGCATAATCTCAGACACCTCAGTAAGCGGTAGGTCCTGGAGCCAACTGAGTAACCCAGCATTTGATGCTTGACCTATGTGAAGTTACCGGGGGGGGGGGGGAGCACCATATTCATGCCCCCCCCCCCTTGCCCTAGGACCCCCCCAGTGCACTACCGACCTGGTTGTTCATGTTGACGTTAATGTCAGCTCTGCCCGGAGCCTGGATGAGGGAGCTGTCAATCTCCAGCTGCTTCAGTCTCACTGCGGCCTCTAAAAGAGTCAGAGAAGAAAGACACTTCATTCACAGCCAAACACGGACTTCCCGGTAAGTGAGAACATTCTGGAAGCTAAGGGGCCCCATTTGGCTCTGCGATAACTGACCGATCATTATGCCAAGTCCCCCTTTGCTGAGCTAAGCTGAGCCGCAGCCCCTCAACCCTGAGCTCTTCACCGTTCAGAGAGATGTTCCTGTCCGCTGTGTTACCGAGGGCTGACACGCTGAGGGCCGCATCCTCCGCCGGGCCCACTGTCGCCATGGGAACCGCCAGCAGCACGACCTCGTCACCGGACGCCTCCTGCAGGTCCGCGATGGCAGGAGGCCGACTGTAGGGGCGGGAGGACAAAGGGAACTCAGAAAGGGAGGCGAAAAACAAAGCACCGCACGGAAAGTGCCGGAAAATCCTCATTTGATTAAAAAAGTTCCAGTTACTCACCCGCAGCCAAGCAAACGGTGGCCCGTCCAGCAGCGGCTCCAGACAGCGATCGCTAAGCTGGCCCAGAACAAAACAGGCCACGAAACCGAGACCACGGGGACCGCGACATTCTGATGGTGTCCAGTGTTCCGGCAGGTTCCACCAGATCCAAATCACAACAGCGCAAAGCAGAGCATATGCCTCGCATGGACTCCCGTTCTATCTTAAACTCCCCCTTCCCCCCGAAACGCTCGGTACAGAGACGGGCAGAGCTGACCGGATGAAAGGGTTACGGTCGCAGTTACGGTTAAGACGAGGTGCATATGGAAAAAGGCCTTTAATAGGCGCCGTAGTGAATCCACCCTGAAAGTCAGGCCTGAGGAAGCGTGTCATGGAGGTGCTTACAGCGCAGAGCAGGGTGTAATTAATACATATGATAAGTTAACTAGCCGAGAAGCCAGAAATGAGGAGCCAGAAGAAGGTGACCCCCCCCCACCCCCACCCCGCTCCGGCTCAGCCTTGCATGGCTGGAACACCCCCTCCGAACATGGAGCATCTTCCGTGTGTCCGAGGGAGATATCCCACGATTCACCTGCAGAACCAGCGAGCCACCGGTCACACCAACCGTAGGCTGCAATAAACGTCATGGAGGCCAGTCGCACAGACGGCCGGGCCCGCGGGCAGCACCCCCACAGCAGGGAACGCGTATCTGCGGGCTCAGACCACACAAACACAGCGCTGTCTATACGCTGGACATTTTTATTGGTACTTTTCTGAGGACTTAGGGAAGAGAGCATAAGGTACGCAGTTACAGGGGAATGATACCGCTGATCAGGCGAGATTTCAGATTACGGCTGTAATGACTGAGTAAAAAATCCGCAGTCCTGATAGATGGGCAGCATAAAACTGAACTAAACATGGGATTTACTACAGCCTTTATGATTTCATATGTCCAGATTGCGGGGAAAAAAAGGGAAATTTACATATAAAGGAATAAAAATGTAAAGGGGACAGCATGAGGTGGGGTGAGCAGTGAGAGTTCCTGATGAGCCCTGAGGGGGGCGCCGCTGGGACGGTCATGTCCTCTCACATTAGGCCTTCCTTTAGGGGTGTGTCCTCGATGGCGTACGACACCTGCACATTCCAGCGATCCTTTCAGCGGGGAGCTATTGTCCCTCCCCCTCATGCAAGAGTTTCATTCTGGGGGGGGGGGGGGGGCAGGGAGGGGCATGCAGTTTCACCTGACCAGAACAGAGGCGCCTTTGTCTCCCTGGGGATTCTGGCGTGATTTTATTTTTATTTTTTTAAAAACCATCCATACACTTTAGGAGCCGTGGGGAGCAGCCTGGGCCCTTGTGGCAAGGTCAGCTGGGGGGGGGGGGGGGAGGTGGGAGACACAAGATTAAACACATGACAGGAGGAATGTAGGCAGATAGAGGAGCTGGAGCTGATAAGGCAGACAGAGAGAGAGAGAGAGAGAGAGAGTTCTAGAAGGCAAATATGAAACCAATGGCACAGACCAATAGCAGCTTATAAACACAGGCCATACAGACAGATCACAGAAGGGCAGCAGGGCTCTAACAGGGCATTCAAGCAGCATATGGCATGCAGGACATAGAGGGTCTTGAAGGTTAGTGCGGAGGGGGGGTGTTTAGTAGGGGGGTTTGAGGGGGGTTCTGGGGTCCCTCCACAGCAACAACAATCCCTAATGGTCCAACACGCCGGGTGCGGCAGTAACACCGCGGTAACCAGAGCACTGATGCTGACAATTATCGGATGCTAGGGGATTATTTAGCACGGTATTATCGAGCATTCTTGTCAGTCTGACTAATGAGATGAATTGGCTTGAGTGTACCTCGCTTACTCCGGCCGAGAGGCGGAGCTTAAAGCACTTTCCTTCCCACATGGTTACTGGGGGCGGCTCAGCTAGCAGACTCAGCGGGTTAGGTCTCTGTGTCTGTGATCAGAAGATCGCCAAGTCAAGCCCCAGCCTCGGCAGAACAGTTGTGTGTCCACGGGCCCTTGAACAAGGTCCATAATCCCCAGCTCCAGGGAACCACACGCTGGCTGACCATGCACTGTGTGCTAGGTGAAGAGAAGCATTCCGATGTCCCTCTACTTGTACTTGTGCAAAGGGCAAAATAAAGAATTTGTCAGAATGTATTTATCAGGATAAAAGTAAGCCTGCAAATTAATGTGGCTTCATTCTGAATACAGAACACAAAGCCCTGCACAGAGTTTAAGGTGATACAGATCCGTTTGTTGCATTGTCAAAAAGAGGGTTTATAGAATAAGACTTAGATAATCTCTCTCAGAAATCACCCAGCTGAGTCTCTAGGTATCGATACATAATCCACAGATATCTGAAACCATGGTTATGGAAACTGCGGATACAGGGGTCCCACTGTACGTGTGTGTGTGTGTGTGTGTGTGTGTCTCAAAGGAGAGCATGATGCGATACGTGTAAACTAAAGCATTCCTACGCACCTATACAAATGGCACATAGGCCAAGAGTGACACAATCAGCCCTTCATTAAAAACGTCAGCGCAGATTTACACTGCTGGACTGTGATTGGACAGCACCGTTAAATACGAATGGGCCTCTGTCTAGCTGTGGCCAAGGAGAGCTTTCCCTGTTGTAAGGCCAGCAAGTCAGCGAGACACACCGGATTGGACGATTTAAGGGTTGAACGTGACAGGATATTAGTCCAGAGCAGGAGGTCAAGAAGGACCGAGGGTCACAATCAAATCACCATGGAGGGAATGTGGTGAGGCCCAGCACAGTACCGCAGAGTAGGAGTTGCACCACACCTGCCACTGATTGGATTATCGCAGAGAGAGATGATATAGAAAAAAAAATGAATCAAGAAGGGAGAACCAGCAGCGACAGCCCCTCAATCAAAAACCCCGGAATCTGATTGGTCGAAGCGCTCTACAGAGGGCGGGCACATGCCTCGCCAATGGGTACATACCTCGCCTTGAGAAATGGCTGCTTGCACTCAGCACTTCAGGCTGGAACAAATAATGTGCAGTTTTAAAACTATTAGCCATTGATCTACCAGCATGGACGGGCATCGGGGAAGCCTGCAGGTAGAGATACCCACCCTACACCTCAAGGTGGTTATACCTGGGCCCTTTAAATGTGTAGGGGAGAGTGGAATAGGTTTGAGTGATTAGACTGGTCGGCAGGTATAGATGAAGACCAAGTGAACGACTGCTGAATCTCAGTACCACGTCACGGAACCGTTCCGAGCCGACTGAATAAAGCTGACAGCTCGTCTGAGCAGGAAGCCACAGGGAAAGAGGCGAATCAAACCAGCTGGTGCCTCCAGCGCTCACACAGCCGGGCTCATTCCATTATCACCCTGCCAGTTACACTCTGCTTGTATTCACAGCTCCAGCAGCAGTAAATTACCTGACTGTATGTGCACACGTCATGCGAGACACTATTTATACACGCAGCGCGAGCAGAGCGTAGGAGCCGCCCGCGTGACGCTGAGGCAGGCCGATCATCCCGCCGCGGTCGCTAATCTGTCTGTTTACACAGCAGCAGGTGACGTCACCCCAGCGGGCACAGGAATGGGTGATAAGAAGAGGAGGAAGATCCCGACTACTGCTCCCGGCACGGCCTGGCCAGACCGCTCTGTCTCCAAGCCGCCCGCCCCCCACACCCACCCAGAGCTGACGGTGCAGAACTAACAGCCTTCTGTTGTCAGACACTGAGTGGAGGAGGAGCGGCCGGGCGACAGCAGGGTGCCGGATTAACCTACATTAATGTTCTTATTGTATTACGCTAAGGGCTGCTCACCTTCTCTTCTCCGATTGGCTGGCTCCGGGACTCCTGGAGAGACACTCGATTTCCATTGGCCCAGGGTCAGTAGGCAGAGTGGTGACTATGGGCAAGGTGGGCCAGGGACTCCGGGGCTGAGGGGACAGTGACACAAAGGCGTCCCTCAGCAAGTTTGTACAAACAGGAATAATATCCCACTCATGGGAAACTCGTCCCCAAAGCTCAGTACCTTGGCATCGCTGCTCTGATCCACTCCGTTATTGTGTGTCCTTTACAGGGGGAAAAGAAGAAAGGTTTACACAAATTTTTTTTAAAAAACAGCCCAAAAGGCAGGGTGGGACTGTACTCATATGGCCACGGGGGCTGTGGGGGCTGCTGGGACTCGGAGCTCCACTCTGTGGTGTCGGTCAAGGTCAGAGTATTCAGGCCACCGTCCTCGAAAGTGAAGCAGGACTCCCACAGCACCCCGCCATATCCCTCATGGGCATTAAGGGGGCAGTACTTACTCATGGTTCTTGTTAACAGCTGTTTGAGAAAAAAAAATTGGGGGGGGTGGTTAGTATGATTGTCTCGGCTCATATAGGCGTCAGGATTAATGTCCTTTGATGTGTTCAGGGTCCTAAAAGCCCATTAGATCAATGCATTCACACGACTTCATACTCAGGAAAGCAGAACAGCGGCACTTCACGGGAGCAGTGACCCATGCTGGCCAGTAGGGGGCGCTCACCCTTGTTTGGCAGAGTCCTCCTAGAGTAGCGCCGGCTGGGTCTCCTCTCAAATGAGGCAGAGCGCCGGGTCTTGCTGGCCTTCGTGGTCTGATACTCAGTCTTTCCGCTGGGGAAACAGCACTGGAGCGGTGAGTACCAAATGCCCCCCAGTAGGGGGCGGCATGCTGACCCAGTACAGAAGGGCGTCTGATGAGGACCTCTTCCCGCTCTGGGTCATGCCGGCTCCCCTCACTCTACCTCTGAACTCCAGGAGATGTTTGGATATGGAACTGACCTCTGGTGACTAACATTCCCCCCAAAAGGTAAACAGGAAGTACTTCCCCCACATTTGTATATAAAGGGTGCATCAGGTTACCAGGCTACTCCTCCTTCCCCTGTCTTTGCCCAGGAAAGCAGGCAGACCCCACACACACAGGCCTGGCCCACCTGTAGCGGAAGCGGGAGCCCATGCGGATGAAGCCGGAGCGGGTGGCGTTCTTCTGGACAGGCCCTCGCAGCCGGAAGAAGGCGTGGTGCTCCACAGCGCACTTCCACAGGTGCTTGCAGGCTTTGGGATGGTCCATGCGGAACACAAAGGTATGCTCCTGCTCCTTCCCCTGTGCGGAAGGTGACAGACCTTAGGTGCTGATGCTACCCACAATGCACCAGGCACAGCAGGGGCAGAACGTCTAAGCCACACATCCTGCCAGGAAGGTGATACCCAAAAGCTCCATCAGGCCAAAATAGTCCTATGATAACCCTAACCGTACACAACCCTCACCTTAACCATAAGTAACCAAACAAAATTCAAGACTTTTGGCTATTCTAGTTTTTTTTTGTTGTTTGTTTTGTGGGGACCTGAAAAATGGCTAAAAAGTAACAGGTTTTACCACATTGTGGGGACATGTGGTGTTGTGTTAGGGTCAGAGCAGAATGACCTCCTTAGCCGGCCGCATCACCTGGTCATCATCTTCCACCACCACCAGCGTCAGCTTGCTCTTCTTAAAGTCCAGCCGGGTGATCTTGGGCCTGGGTAGGGGGGTGGGGTCAGACTAAAAGGACAAACCAGCAGCACCCCCCACCCCCCCCAACTGGCGTCAGTACAGACAAAGAACAGATCCTCTCCGCCAGGACAGAGGTTGTTCTCAGGAAGTAGCCCTCACCAGAAGAACAGGCCGATCTTGGTCTCGCCCTCGAACACCAGCACCCCAGTGGGGGTCAGACCCAGGCTGTAGTCATTACCGTCGCGCGCCTGGGAAGGACAGAGATGGTACAGAGCGTCAGACACAACCCTCACACTCCATAAGCCCCGCTATGATGTCACATTGAGCAGAGCGCCCCCTTCAGGCAGTGCATCCTCCACCACAGCCGACCTTGACCGTGTGCATGTCCACACCGTACATCTCCAGCCACTTGGCCTTGTTCAGGTAGTTGATCTCAGCCTGCGCTGGTGTCTGGCCTCTGGGGTGGGGTGGGGGGCGGGGGGGGAGATACTGTTTAGCTGTCACAGTTGCCAAGATCCTGGGGTAACACTTAACCTTACGCTTAACCAAAGACACCCCAACACACGCTCCCAAATCTGATTTAACACATGACAGCAGTATGCTGGGTGTCTGTAGGAGGCGACTAACGCACCTGCATCCCTTCCAGGCGTCCAGCACAGCCAGCTCCATGTCCTCCGTCTGCTGGGGGATGAAACGGAACTCGGACACCAGATCGGGGCTGTGTTCGGTCGGGTCGAAGTCCCCGAGCTCGCCTGGGAGGCACGGACAAAGCACAGAAAGGCTCTGAGTATCGCCCCACTAGAGGCCACAGTAAAGTTAACGAGAATCTGAGATGGCTCTCCCACCATCACTAACAAGAGTGTATGTAAGGTTCTTCACAAGCATATGACCAGCAGGCTGAAGGACACCTCCCCACGTTTGAGGTTAGGTGTGAGCTACTGGGTCCCGTAGCTTAATGAAGTGAAGATGCTCAGACTCACAACACCAAACCCAACACCTGTGGGTTTATATGCAGACCAGCCGCACACCATCAGCCTGTATGGGAGGCACAGCGTTCACGCCCCACGGCGCCCCCACAGACACATGCAGGGAACGCAGCTTTAACCGAAGGCAGAGTCAAATTAGAGGGTGTGTCCACTACCCAGAATCCTTTGCAGGTGAGGACTCCTGGCTGGGGGATGATTTGAGTCAGGTATCAAGAGGGGAGTGTTAGGTGGAGATGGGGGGAGCAGAGGGGGATTATAATGAGCTGGCATGTGCATGTGGCTCCAGATTGGGAGGGGGGGGCAGGGTGGGGTGGGGGCTGGCAGACAGAATTCCAGTTGGATTCATCAGCTCCTCCAGCCTCCACATTCCTTTAGGCCAGACCATGTTATGGAAACGAAAGTTACACAGCATCATAAACGGCATGATAAATGGCCGCACATCTCATTCCGGGCCTCTGAGATTATCAAACCCCACCCCCAAGTGAAAAGGCCCGGGTGACAGGAAACGATTTACATGAAGGAGGGAGGCAGGGCATGATGGGAGATGGAGGCGCTTACCCTGCAAGGCGAAGGCAGCCAGAGCTACAGCTGTGTCAAAGGGACACTCCAGCCTGTGGGGGAGACAGAAGGACGCCTAAGGGGTGGGGATGAGGGTCTGGGGGCCGAGTTTGCCGGGCTGCTTATGAAGAACACAAACCATCCAAAGTCTCACGTGTACAAACTGCTGTGAAACTGGATCCCACAAGAATCCACCAAATTCAAAGGCCGAAATAATCTACTAAAGCATTCTACCACACGGTCACAGAAAGCTGAGTAGATGTGCAGCATCTGTGAGGAGTTAAACAGGATCGGATTGATATTTATGTTTGTGTGAAGCACAGGGGTCAAAGGTCAGCAGCAAATTCCGCTTCTCTTCCAAAAGCTCTCCGTAAGCTACATGCACTGAGGTTAGATTCAGGGCTCGATTACGTGAAGTTTGTTCCAGCTTTTGGTTTCAGGAGAACGAGAAAGCAACAAAGGAAGTTACTCATGGTGAACTCAGCATGAGACTCTGGACTCTGTGGGGATAATTATTATAGTCGAAAGCGAAACTGATCAAACTACAATAGTGTACATTTACGAGACGACACGCCTCGTTTGTGATTCAGTGTTCAGCTGTATTGTCTAATAAAATAGGGACACATTTATCACCTAAACAATCTGAATTCAATCAGCTCATCACCTGCGAATAACATGAAGCTTCTCAGCAGCTCTTACTGCTAATTTACACGTAACCAACATGTGACCATCCCAACCTGAGAGTAAGGACAGGTGCGAATGGGCTCGGCCGGAAGGCTCTGCCGTGATGCACCATCTGCTGTGAGTCACACGGGGGTCATGTGACACCACCTCAGCTGACCATGTGCTTGTAAGCCAGCAAACTGGCAGTGCCACAGAGCAGCCTGATCATAAAACCACAGCCATAAAACCACCCATAATCCTCTTACCAGCCTTATTTTGACATCATTTGGCTATTTATTATTATTTATCAGAAACAGCGTGAGCAGTGCGGTCGAAATCGCGGCCTCTTGGAGGCGCTGTGGGACCTGCGATGGTAGGGAGGGATACTCACTTTCCACTCAGGATGTCTTGCTTCAGCTGGAGCACAAACAGATACCTGTTGGGTGGGGGAGAGCAGCTATCAGCATCACCGAGGACACAGGGAGACACACACACACACACACAATCACACACCAGGACACACAGACAGGGACACACACACACACACACACACACACACACACACACAGACAGACAGACAGACAGACACACACACACACACACACACACACATGCAGGGTAAACATATCCTTATGGGGACCGCTCATTCATTTCAATGGGAAAAATGCTAACGCTAACTATGACAACCTTAACCCCCACCCAGCCCTAACCATAACCATAAGTAACCAAACAAAATATAAGAGTTTTTGCATTTTTAGTTTTTTCACAGCAGTCACCGATTTTTATAAAATAGAGTTTTCCCTTATGGGGACCAGGAAACCGATCCCCATAAGGGAAAAAAAATGGATATTTATCACATTTATGTCCCCATAAGGATAGGTAAACCCGCTCCAGGACACACACACACACACACAGACACACACAGACACACACACAGACACACACAGACACACACAGACACACACAGACACACACACAGACACACACACAGACACACACACACACCTTCACTGTGCGTTGAGGATGTTTACCTTGCCACTGCATCACAAGAGCCTTTGCTGAGCTTTGTCCTCATTACCATGGCAGCATAACATCAAAGGGTCCTACAGGGCCACACAAACAGGCCGTGCCCCCCTACCCCCACCTCTGACCCACGGACGCTCACCTCGTCAGCTCCTCATGCAGGTTGTTTGGCTCAGAGGAGTAGAATTTGACCTTCATGTGAAGGCAGTAGGGGGGGCCGACTGCAACACACAGCGGGGTGGGGACATTACTGCTCGTGCCCATGCAGAGCAACCAGACGGCCCTCGCAGACTGCTTAACACACTCATCTAGCATGTGCATCACGAGGAACATGAGCAGAGACACGCTGACCGCACCTCAGTCTGAAGGGCGCGGCGCACCTGCGGGAGGGGGCTCACGCGAGTCACGCGTGTCAGGCCGTGTTTCCCGGCTGAGGCCCGGGAGCTGCCGTCCGGCCAAAGTGCAAACGTGACATGAACAGCACTTACTTTTCACCTGCTTTTTGATGCTCTTCGTAACGTCCAGCCAATGCTGTAGAGAGGAAGAGAGACAGGAGATACTGGTCAAGCAGCACAGCACACTCCCCAGCAGTGATGAGATGCCTGAGCCACCCCCCCCCTCCCCCTCCCCCATCACCAACGCTGCCCAGACGGCCTCCATGACACTCGGGAAGAGCAGATGCTGTAAAGCCGCAGCTGTGCGCAGCGATCCAAGCGGAGTGCAGATTAGGGATCTGGGGGTCGTGTCACATCGAGACGGGGCCAGGGGGAGCGAGGAGGTGCTCCGCGGGGCAGAGGGGACGCACTCCCTGGGTGCAGCGACTCCCTGCTCCCCAGCACCTCCCGCACATTCCACACGCAGGACACACCCACACAGCTCTCTGCTTCCTAAATGCTGTTGCAATATCTACATAACCCAAACAATTACAGACTGACTGTCAACATGTCATTAAACCTCCAGCATGCCTCTGATTTTTACCTGTGACCTAGAAACAGAGGCCCACAGGCACACACCCCCATAGACCACACCCCTCCAAAAACCACAACCACACCCCTTAATTACACACGGCCACACCCCCATACACCACAGCTCCCTCTCTCCACAACCACACCCCTCAATTACACACGGCCACACCCCCATAGACCACGGCTCCACCTTTCCACACCCTCCAATCACACATGCAGGGTTCCCCCTGGAGTTTGATTTCAATTCTTCACTTTTCTTTGTATTTTTGCTTCTACTAATCAAATTCCTCACTTTTTTTCAGCATCTATTTTTTTTAGTCACTCTCTCGCCGCTTCTTAATAAATTAATCATTAAACTCACTGAATATACATCTCTTCTGACAATCACACTGTGATTGGTCAACTAACGGCATGGGCGAGTCACGAGTCTACTTGATAAGGTTGGGAGAATCGTGAATACTGTGTAAAAATTTGCGTGCTGGCGTGCTGAAAACATGATGTATAGTACGCATTTCGGAAATAATGTTCTAATTACTATATATATAAGGTAAGCTAATACTTTCCCGGTGTTTCATAGTACCTTTGAGAGGGACATTCTAAAACGCTTAATGTGAAAACGCTTAATGTGGTTTAATGTACCAAAATAGCGACCAATAATCACCAAATTTCGCACACACACATCTGGTCATAAAGACTTTCACCTGACAAAAAATCAAAACCGAAATACAAGGAATATGGACTTTATTTTACATTAAGCCTTTTCCTTATAATGGGCGTCAATGGAGGGGAAAACGCTTAACGTAGTATAAAGTCCTTATTCTAAGCATTTCGGGTTGTGCTCCACCCCTCCAAAACCCACAGCCACACCCCTCCACAAAACCTGAGCACAAACCCTGCCCACAGCCCTCCCTCAACCTTACCGGGACTTGGGCGGAGTCCATGAAGCGCAGCCCAAAGTAGTCCTTCTCCACGATGTCCATGTGATACATGATCTGGTCAAACAGCTCCTCTCCTTTGGCTTTCTTCTGTGGAGGGCAGACAGCATGTCAAACACCCACGGGTCGGAGATGTGACCAAAACCCGCCGCTGTGAGATGCCATGAAGGGCAGCATTTGTATGAGTGTGAATGTAAGCAGCATCCCTGTCTGTAAGCACTAGCCTCCCCACGCTGAATTACTCACTACCTTCAGCACACACTGCGGCACGCTGTAGACTTTCTGGGTGTCACGGGGCCCCCAACTCCCTGAAGCACCTTGTAGCATGAGCCCCCCAACAGGAAGACACAGGAAATACATCACCTGCCTGTGATGTCAGCCCAGTTACCACCAGACATTACATCCTGGGCTCATATGTAATTTCCCCATAGGTGTGGCCTGTCCATGCCCGCAGTCCCGCGTGGAGTAAACAGCAAACTGTCGCTGCTGCACCACAAACACGGTCACAGCACAAAACACCCCCCCCCCCCCATTTCACTGGCAGCTCAGAAACCTAACTCTGAAAACCCAAGCCAAATTCCTCCCAAGGCACCCCTGCCCTAATGAACTCCTCCCCCCCCCTCCTGGGTGTTCAGCTGCCTTGTGCAAATCTCTGCACTCCTCAGCCCAGCAGCTCCCACACAAAGCGTGGGGGGGGGGGGGGGGGGGATAGGTATCCACGGCAACAGATCGCTGGCCTCAGACACTCAGCCACGTGACGCCCAAACGGCCAGCCTCCATTGTGCCGTTCTGCTCTGGTGGACCGGCGACCCGGCCAGCAGAGGAAGAGCCTCTCTCCGCCTGAATCCACCAGAACCACCGACCACAGAAACGCTCCAGCACAGTTACGACCCAAAGGCTGAACAAGTTCGGCACTGCAATTATAATGTGCGTCTTTAAAGCTGCGGGACAGTCAGAGAGGCCTTTAAAAGCCATGGGGAGGGTGGTGGTTGGGTGGGGGGGGTCACGCCAAGCTCAGGGAGCACCCCCACCTGCGGCATTCCGACAGCGGCGGCTACATCCCCGGCCAGTGGGGGGAGGGACATGAGGCTGAGGGGCCGACCGACTCTGGCCCCCCTGGCATTCCAGGGGGAGTGGACCACGGCGCCCTCAGCATCGCAGACTCCCCTCTGCGGTACCTCATAGTGTTCCTGATAACGTGCGCTTCTCTTGGGAAGAAGCAGAACACGAGCTTCCGTCTGAAACGGGCACTCTGAGGTGGATTGAAACCAGATCCTTAACCACATCTGATAGTAAAATCCACGCACCCCCAGCGTCTGGTTAAAATCATCCAGGGGCAGGGCAAAGGTTTCCCACAAGGCAGCGGGGGCAATGATTAACCCCCCCGCCAGAGCCAGCAGCAACATCTCAGCGCATCAATCATACCCACTTGTCCTCAATTGTCAATCATATTCTTTACATATATTATTACAAGGCGTTGGGTGACTGAAAAATGCAATTTTTCAAAAGTTCACGTGAAACATCGTTTGAAAACTGAGGACACTCTTCCACATCGAACCTGCTTAAGTCACATTCAGATGAAGGACTATGATAACCTATTTAAAAAGATCAGGCAGAATCACTGCCCCCTATGGGACAGGAAGTATGACGGCTTAACTGGGGAAGGTGACAGGACAAAGGATATCAGAGCTGTGCTTGGGGTTAGACAGCTTCACGCAGACAAGCGGCGTGAGAACCACTTCAAGACAAGACTTCAAAAGTAAGATCCTGCATCCAGCATGTGGTTAAAGGGACCTACTAAATCAAAGAATACAGCAAGAGCAGCCATGCAGTTTCAGATAAAGAAAAGCCTCCCATATGAGTGCCAAAACAAGACATGAACCAGCCATCTGCAAAACTGATAGATAATAACCATAATTATAATCAAAACAGGGCGTTTCCTCTGGGGTCAATAAAAGTATTCTGAATCTGAATCTAATAGGAATCTAATAAGATCTAATAGTCCTCTAATTCATACGCATGATAATCCCAGAGGCTGATACCTCAGGTATCTCCTTGTCTCAGTAACAAAACAGCCAAAGACCCAAAGGGAGTCAGGTACAGGGTGACTTATCCAGAAGCTTCACAGGCAGCCCCACAGCCCATGGACCCACCACCAGTCTGTCCCTCAGAAGAAAACCCGTGACAAACTTCACAAAAGCCCCTCTCTATAGACACGGCAGCGGTAAGGAGTGTCCTGAAAGCAGCAATGCAGGGAAAAGCTGGCAGGTCAGCTAAGAATTCGGTTTTCGGAGAAGGAGGTAACGGACTGGGGAGATGGCCAGAGAGCAACCAGGAAGTAAGGATGGAGAAGCACCTTACACCAGGAACTGGAGTCTGCTTCACTGAGTCTTTAGAGTGCATTATGCTGCAGCTAAAATAACACATGCAGCAGATCCCGGCTCATTAATGAGGCATTCGTGTTACTTATTTCTATCCCGTTTGGACTGTTAATTGGTGTTGAGTATGATCTCACTGTACCAAAAATTCTTTCCGAGGAGGGGAGTACCCAAAAAGCAATTAACTAGCGTAATAAAACAACCACCACCAACTTAGGCATGTCCAACAAATAAACAGAGCCGATCGTAGGTAGAGAGACAGGCAGACAGCCTCACCGGCAGGTCCACGCTGACATCGGTGCCATCCAGCAGGGAGACGCGGCAGGTGATGACCGACTTGGCGTCTCCGGCCGCCGGGATGTGCGTGCTGGCTCTCTGCGCCTCTCGGAGGCGCGCCTTCTCCCTGTGCTTGCGCACGGACCGCCGGCCCAGGGTCCGCCGGAGGAAGCTCAGCATAGTTTGGGGCTGGGCCGGGAACGTGGGGGAGGGGATGCTCCTGTCAGACTGTGCCCGATATCAATGTAACAATACATAGGAAACGCGTCTGGGGGATGATCAGAGTAACAAGTGTAACAGTACCCGCAAGTTAGAATAATCGCCTTTTGTTGGATGAATGTATAGATTACTGACCGCAGACCTCAGATAATATTTACAGTCCTTCCAGTATCGGGGCAGGTACAAATAAACTTGTGGCCTAAATGTACGTAAACTCTCTAGTTATCAAGGAATCCGGGATCAAGGAACCAGTTATAGATTGGAGTGAATGGAAGTGTTAACCACCCTGCTGAAACTGAGAAAAGGCAGCATTGCCGGCATTAAAATGCGAATTACAAAAGGTTAAGACAACCGACCGCACATCATCGTTGATGCGTTTAATGCTAAAAATGCGCATAACATTCTCTACTTGCATTTCACCTGTGCTTCTTGTCCCGTTTATACTGTAAACTTAACCAGATTATCGTTTATTTTAAATCACAAACAATAAAGGGATAGCTCCTTTAGCTCTGTGTTTAGTTAATCGTGGGACTTTTTTTCTTTCTGCTTTCTACAGGGTTATGCTGTTGATAATTATCTGTAAATGATGCATTACAGTTTTAATGCATATTATATATTAAATATTGTGTACACCGGAAAACAAAACAGTTGTACTATACAGCCTATGTAAAGTACATTTATAAAGCTGAACTATTTTCTTATTAAATGAAATGAGCCGCATCATCATGCCCATCTTGGTAGTTTTATAGACGTATAGGCAGCTCCAATAACGTCCCGCTGAAACGGCCCAGGGCAGCGACGCCAGCAACAGGTTTACCTCTTTTAGAGATGCTGGAGCAAGAGCCGCGTACTTCCACCTGCAACCTGAAAAGTGTAGCGCGATGCAGCCCCCGGCTGTCTTGTCTTCGATTAGGTCTGCTGGAAGTGGTCGTGCGACTGACTCCTTAAAACAGGTCAATTAAATCCCTCTGGAATGCCTTATAGCCCGCCATAGTGAGAGCTGGGACCCCGAGGCAGCGCTTTCTGAGACTCAGAAAGAGAGGCGGCGATAGAATCCGCGAGAGGCGTGACTTGATATCACGGGGCGGGGATATAATCCTTGGAGGCGGGGATAGAATTGCTAAGCGGAAATGACGTTTACCGCTACTCTTCGAAACCAGCATGGATTTGCACACATCAGGACTGGGCGAACCAATGTGCCGCGACTCAGCCAATCAGGATCCGAATATGCCGCCCCATTCGTTGTCTCAATCAGTGTGTGCAAGGGCGGGTTTGTTGTTTATGGGGCCCCACTCAGTGTAGTTACTGTTTGTGGCCAACAGCCCCCCCCAAACCTTGGTGTGGGATGTGTGGGGGGCACGCAAATTCGTGGTTTTAGTTGTAACCGCCGCTTTGTATCAAAATTAAATGTTACATTACCAAAGAGTTTACATGAGATTGTGTTAGATCTTACCGTCACCTGTGGTAACACTGGTAATGTAAGACTTATCTGCTAATTAGAATAGCCCACGTGGAACCGCCAACGGGAAGTGACAAGTTAGAGTGAGATAGATGGACGGGGGGCAAGCTGCTCCTTTACCGACATCAGATGCTGGCTGATATTTTTGACATCAGTCTGTGATCAGCGCATGACGCCTTACAACAAAGACCGGGCGGAGTAAAGGGGGGCTTCTTTACTGTTATTTGGCAAGCCAACTGCTCAACAACCGTGAGAAATTCGTTCTTGGACAACTTAATCATTAAGAGAACCACTTTGAAATAGGAAGTTTCGTCAGCATCTTCAGAAACGGCATTTTTCGTATGGAAAAGGCTTAATCGGTTAAGACTTGTAATCCAGTTTCAGCTAGTTTATTATTCAATTGAACTATAAGAACCTATCGATCAAATTTTAATTTTAAGCAAACAATTTTAATGTTAAGACGGCATCTTAATTTGACAACAGCACCACCCGCTGATGACACTGGTTTACAGTTTCTGTTTCCTTTATAATTTTGAGTGTGCCAGATATTTGTGATCAGCATCACAAAATCTAACTTCATGAGTCACTTCCATCATGCTGGTTTAATAGTGTGTCACTCAAAATCCTTGCGTGACAGGTAAATTCTTACTAGATATTCGAATTCAGCACAAACAACACTAAGATTCACCTATTTATGTTTGCAAGATTTTGTTGACCAGTGTTATTTATAAGCAGTACAACAGGCAGAAGAATTTTCAAAAGTATTAAGCCAACTGAATTAGTGTAGGGATTGACGTTATAAACAGTAATTGTGTATATGACATGAACATGAAGCTATTGAAAACACAAATTTAAACCAATTAGTAGGTGTCACAGTGCTGTTAATTAAATCTCAATCAATGTTTGGCACAGGGACCCATTAGCCACTAGGCGGTTTGTCCATGACTGGTTCAGGGTTACGGGACACTAAGAAATACTTAGACATGCATTTAATTTGAAATTCTTGGAGAAAAGCTGGTACTTTTGAGCCACAGAACAGTAACTCCCAAATATGACACATGCACCATGACACCTCTGGTTTACACATTTAAGAGTCAATGCAAAACTGAACAGGGCAGCTGGCAGTAAAACATTTTGTAAATGGACCTCTTTAATAGCCACTGTAAATTATTAATGGCTGAGTCATGGAAGTGGAAAAAAAAACCAGCAAATGACATTCCTCAAATACCACCTTCATTTTGAAGCGTGAGAGAGGGGAAAAAAACAACAACCGAAAGGGCTACTGAAAGAAAGTGACCACAGATTAGCATAGTTCCATCTTTAAGCAGAAATAAGACTTTACTTTACACAACATTGGCACTAAACAGACATCGTATTGCTCTTATGTACAATGAAAACATATAGGGGCTTCGCACAGCTCCTCCGTTGCCCTTAGAGGACTAAATCACAGATTTGAAGTGGGATCAGTGAAATAACCTTTGACCTATACTTATATATTCACTTGGAAGTGTACAAACTATTCTCTTTTTACAAGTGGTATGAAAAAATATTTTCCTTTCAGAATCCAAGTCACAGACCTCTGACCCTCGGAAAGTCTCTATAACGTATGAAAGGTTGATACATTCAGTTCTTGAACAGCATGACAACAAAGAGCATTTAAATGTCTTAGTATAGACTCTTAATAACGCAGTTTCTGTAGCAATATTTAATTTATGAGGAGTCACTGATCTATTTATACCACAACTGCGCAGAAATACAGCTCAGGATAATTAGCTCTCTAATATATCATACTGGAGCCAAAAACATTCATGATAATTCAAACAAGGTTTACATGTTGGTTTAAACCTTAATTGCTGATCAAGGAAAGACCAGGGGCTTGTATCTCGAAGCCAGATTTGTTGGTTAGCTAGATAACTTGTCAGATTAAAGGACCCCAGTTTAATCGACTTTATCTTTGTTTACATACATTTATCACAGACTACCGAAATTTAATAAGTTATCCAGCTAAGCAAGAAATCATGCTTTGTAATACAGGCCCTAGGTATGCATGTATGTCAACACACGATTCTTCTGCTCATGTACGTCAATGTTCAGCATAACTAGCTTCTGTAAACACAAATTTCCCCCCCCCCCCCCCCAGCAGACACGCGTTTGATCATTAATAAACAGTATTGTAAACATCTTCAAAGCACTGTCCATATCCTTGAACAAGAGGGATCATCATAAATTATTATATTTTCAAAATGGAATAATTTGAATCCATCCCGCTGGGTTTTGTCAAAGCCAGCCATTAAAAACGTGGAAGGAGCTTAGAGGTGGAAGCCAAGGCATTACCAGACCTGTAGGGGGCAACATAGCACAGATTATCAGTGTAAGAATTCAGAATTCGAGGACAATCCCTTTTTATCCCATGATTCATTGCCTGAGATAATACAACAAAATTTTATAAAATTAAATTGCATTTGAAATTGTGACTTGGAAGAATTAAACTGAAGCATTGTACAGTAGTGTAGGAAATATTACTTGGATCAAAACATCTCCTGTATAACTGCATTAACAATAAATTATTTTTTGATTCTGACATGTGGTTGAAATTAAACCATAATGGTGGCTTCATCCTTAAGGTCGGATCCCTTCCCTCATACAGAGCCTGACATGGGTTAGGTGATCACATTACCAGCAGAGGCGTGTGATTCACCCTCGATTAACACAAGCTTGACAGAGCAGGAATCTCCCAGGGCCTGTTTAAACTGCCTCTCGGCATTCCAGCAGATCATTGGTTAAAAGGTCCATAAATGAACACACCAATCAGAAAAAGGTCACAGTAACGATTGCTGGCTTTGACAAAACCTCTCCCCTCTGGGTGTTAAGGTGAGTGGATTCCCATTCGCTCTCACAGTGTGTGTGTGTGTGTGAGTATGTGTCTGGATCAATGGAAAGCACTTTACACCAGCAAGGTTCCAAATGTACTCGCATCTCTTAGGGTACTGTCCAAGGGAAAACAAATTTCGTCATTTTCAGACTTATTTCTTTTTTATATAAAAATAACATTTAAACACACAAGATGTCCTTTTATTTTAAAGATTTTTAATATACAACAAACAATGTATTTACACAATCTAATTTATGTACACAAAAATAAATGGCACGGCCTGCTTCCGATTTTACCCTACCTGACCCCCCAGCAAATATTAGCGATAAATAAGAGTTCCTCATCATCGTTCCCCAGACAGGATCTGAGTAGCACTATAGGCCACACAGTCAGCTGCAAAGTGCTGTCCATTCCCAAAGAGTGTTCGTCTTACAAAATATCTTTTTTAACAAAACCCCATAACAAATATATAGCTTATGCTATCGCGTAACAAGCCAACAAGCACGTCGCTGAACATTCAAGATGAACACCGCTGGTCCTGAAGCATGAAGGACACTGGCGTGTGCAGCCCTGCCCAAATTACCCCCCCATGGGGACCAGCCTCAGAGCACCAGCAGCACCGAGGGGGGCACCTGCCAGCCCCCCCACCCCCCGCTGCCAGAACTTCTGTGGTTTGGTTTCTGGGGGTATACACTTCTCAAAGCGACGAGGGGGGGGGGGGAGGGGAGTGAGGTGCGGTGTAGTATCATCAGTTTGGCACTGAGCCCAGAGTACTGTGCACGTTTGAACACAAGCACAGCATGCTGGGAAAGGCAGGGATGGGGCGTTCCTGACTCTGCAGAGGCCACAAAGCCTCTCGTGCGTTTAGATGACTGCCTTAGATGACTCCACAGAGACAGAAATGCTCACAGCACCACCAAGGGGGCTACATGGAAACTGCAGGATTTCAGTTTACAGAAAAATTTCAGCCAGTTGTGGTTAGAGCCCCTTGTCCACATGTTGCCATCGATCTATTTAAAACAAAGAAATAAAAACTCTTTTGGTTTGGTGAGAGTACTGCACTGCTCAAGGCCAGTGAGCAGACCACAAACGCAGTGTCATTTGTACCTAAATTCCCACAAAATCAACTGCATTCGTTCCCTTTAACAACTGAGGAAGACCACCATGATTGGGGACTCAGATTTTCTCACCGTATTATTTGAGAGAAAAAAAATCCTAAAACAAAACTGAGAAATACCTTAAATTTGACATAAATTCACTTAGTTGAGTTAGGCTTCCCCGACAGACCAGAATTTAGCACTAAAATCAGCCTCGCAGATACTTAAATGTGGGTGGCCGCCAGATGAAATAAAAAAAATAATAATAAATAAAAATCAGTAGATGTGGCAAAGGCAGAGAGCACCAGCTACGGCTTAAGGAGAAAAACAGCACAGCTTCAAGCCCCAAGCTGCCTCCCAGGAGTGTCCGTGCTGACGATTCGCTCACAGGACACCCCCTGCATCAGTAGCTGTTCGGATGTGCAAACAAAAACCGTGGGTGTCCTAGGGAGGCCACACCCCTAACTGGTGGGCGGTGCTTCTGCACATCGCTAAGACTCTGGCAGAAGACAGACAGCGAACAAAGCAAAAGACTGAAAAGGCGAGCATTACCTGGGGGCAGCCTGCAGGGACTACAGATGTTTATCCTGCCTCTGGTAATGGCACTATGGACCTCCATCATCATCACCACCACCACCACCACCTTCACCATCATCACCATCATGTTTGCTTTCGCCCTGAGCAGTAGCTCTTTGTCCCTTGACTATGACTGGATGTTTCTGAATGATTCTTGTATTTTTGTGTTTTTTTTTTTTTTTTTGTCCACATAAAGTGCAAGAGTGCTAAGTTTTCTCCCAACTGCCAGCTCTGAGGTGTCCTGTCGGGCACCCTAGGAACATCTCACGCGTGCCGGGGAGCCTGCGACAGAGAACGGGCGGGTGTGACAGCATCCTGGAAGTGTCCATTTGCCTAGGCTGGGGCGCCGGCTGTGGTTTCAGGGCCTGGCGACGGCTGGACCGCCCCGTCATCACTCACACGGACTTCAGTGGCTTGACCAGACCCTCCTCATACACCTTCAGGATGGCCTCACACACGAAGCGGTATTGGCTCTGGAGGGGAATACAGGGACACACAGCATGAATCCCGAAACATTGCAGACAGGCTCAGATCCCCGGGCAGGTTCGGGTTCGAAACCCAAGCGGCTGCTTCAATATGACAGCATCTGGGGGGTATCAAACTATAGATATGGCCAGACATTTTTACTTGCATTATCCTGTGTTGTATCTTTCTGTACTACTGGACAAAGAAATTACCCCCAAGGAGATCGATAAAGTTCTTAATCTTACAAAAATCAAGCAAAATGTCTGAAAGATGCTCTTCAAAGAGTGGAAAGCAACTGCATTAATCTTCTGACCACAAGGAGAAGAGGAATCACTTCAGACTGTCAGAGAGGCTGCATCATTCTGCAGAGCCTCTCATTCTTGTTCATGCTTCAGGACAAAAAGATACGTTTTAGAGGAGCTTTAAAAAATGTGTCTTACCAAAAATAATTACCTGGTTACTGAGGATAATCCACAGACTTCATAAAAAGCAGTTTAAGGTAGGAATGATTTTTTTCTACCGGACTCCACACACCGATCGTATCACTTTGCAGAAGATATCGCCGGGCTGGCAGATATCGATCGGAGTCCGGTAGAAAAAAATCATTCCTACATTAAACTGCTTTTTATGAAGTCTGTGGATTATCCTCAGTAAACAGATAATCATTTCTGGTAAGAGATATTGCTGTTGAACTTTTCTATTTTTTTGGTGCTTTATTCATCACAGAAAGAATGCCATTCGGTCCCATCATATTTGAGATAAGCACGACATTTCTACGTCTGATATCGCCAAAACGAGGCAACTCCCAGCAGAACAACCTATATGGATAGACAGCACTAAAGCCCCTCTCTAAATAATCTTCTCTCACTTCTGGGGTAAACTGCCCCATTAAGGCTCATGTTGAGACCCATGTGATGAAGAAGCAGGCTGCTACGTACCGGGGTCTGAATCATCATGGCCCTCTGATCCCTCATTGTTCTCACAATGTCTAACGGATACACAGGCTGACTGCATTCCATCAGGCACATTGCTGTTTCCATGGTGATGAGAACCCCGGTCCGGCCAATCCCGGCACTGCAAGAGACAGGAGAGAGCGTCAACTGCGGGATGGCAATAACCCCAGAATAATCTAACATAGGCAGCCGGGTCAGATGGGGACTTGCACTGCCCGCCCTCATTCCCCCTCTCTGTACCCCTTCAAGGGCTCCTGATGCGGTGCAATCCCAGCATGCACCTGACAGGCTCACTGCTGAAAATGCTTGTTACTGAATAACTCTTCACACTGCAGCTGCGGCGCCCCCGCTGCGTGCCTGAAAAACCCAGCCTCCTCTACCCCTGTTTACATTCAACTCCCCATGCATTATCTGCACTTGCAACAGTCGCCAAAAGTAGCGCTGCCCCTCAGGCATAATGAAGTACTGCCGAACATGATGGCCTTAGTCTACTGAAGAATTATACTGAATCACTTTTGAAAGACAATCCACTGTTATATATAGTACTTAATAAAAAAATAGCAATGCACCTACATCTATTCGTCCACCTTCCATGACCACCTTCCCTAATAGGATTATGCATGCGTCTGGATCCTACCCCAGGAAGCATAGGGCAGTGTTTCTTCTGGAATCATTTCTCCATGGCGATCCGCCACACCAAAAAAAAACTAAAAAAATCAATCTAACCAATCAGTCATCTAATCCAACGCCTTGGTGACTTGCTCGGGAAGCCTGACTGCCGCCCTCTTCCCCCCATGCAGGAATTCAGCTAGTTAACAGCACTAACAGGCTGTATCATGTCGGCATTAAGCAGACGCTATTACAAAGCTCTAATAAAATGAGCTTATACAGGTATTTTCCAAGGAAATTAAAAACAGACGATGTAGACAGAGCAGGCATTTAGTTAGGTAGGGGTGATGACACCCCCTGTATGCAAAACCTCAAGAAACACCACAAGGCATACAGCAGAGGACCCCATGGCCAAGATGCCAATCAATTACACGGTACACACACATTAAGGGGGTAGGAGGGGCCTTAAAGGAGTGTGACATGCAAGGGACGTGGCCGGGACCAGCTCTCACCTGCAGTGGACCACCACCGGCTCGTCCCTGCCTGCCCTCTTATTCCGCACCAAGTTCACGAAGTCCAGGAAGTCGGTGGAGTCATCAGGGACACCATGGTCAGGCCAGGCCACGTACTGGATCTGGGTCAGCTGCCGGTTCTCGCTGCTCTGTGACGACACGCCGATAGTCAGCGCATGTTGTGGTGGCAACAGGGGACGCCCTCAGATGGGTCGGCTAAGGATGGCAGCCTGCCACCAAAACGCACGTCCTCCAACCGTGGCACCGCGCTCCAATGAGCCATAGTAACACCCTGTCACTGCTCTTTCTCCCCTCAAGTCACCATAGCAACCTCTCACATTGACAGGGTGTGCAAAAAGCACACAGTAGGAACTTCTAGAGAGTTCTCAGGAACTTCAACAAATAGTAAACGCACCTCCAGGCAAGTGAGGACCATGTCTCTGATCAGGAAGGCGGCATTGCCCTCCTCGCTGAGACAGGCCACCTGGAAGCCGCCGTAGGTGGCGCTGTTCCCCGAGTCCGGCCAGTATTGATGGCACTTCACCTAGAGGCAGAGCAGGGGTCAGTCAGCTTTAGCCTGTTAGCATAAGCGCATCCATGTGGCGGCGGCGTGCTGGGAAACAAATGGGAATCTCAGACGCTCCAGTGCAGTCACTTGTCAGCGTGCACACAAAGCAGCAAAATCGAACATGCACACGATCAAGTGACATAGCAGCCATAGCCACCAGGGGGCGCCGCAACATACCCGACCCCGCTCCACCTGCGTGGTGAGCATGACCACCATGGAGGAGCCCTGCTCCCAGGCCATCTGCCAGAAGTCCGAACAAGTGTTGGGTAGGGGCCCCTGGCAGGCGATGTAGCGGTTTATGAGGCTGGAGCCCGGGATCTCCATCTGGGGGCGAGCAAGAGGATGGAGGGGGTGTGACTGTGTGCCCGAGCGCCCACTTTAAATAACCCCTGGGGGTGGGAACCCGAAAGAGTGGCTCACATTGATGTAGTTGGCATTGATGTAGTCATCCAGGCCCCTCAAGATGACCCGCGTGGCATCATCTGCAAACAGCCAATGAGCAGGCTGTTAGGTATCATGTGACAAACTTCAGAGGCACCCCACCATCCCGGAGTGATACTCACAGGGCGAGATGTCTCTGTATCTGTTTTTGGAAATGTTCTGAGGTAATTTGGCACAAGACATCATCATTCCAGGTCTCTTCCGATATAACTGCTGTAAGAGAAGGACGAGATGACAGTTAGGTCAACACTACAGGAAGTATGAGGGTATGATTTATTATTTTCAGATGTGTGAACACGGTCATTCACAGCCGGTCGGAAGTAATACTCTACATAAGTGTGGCGCGCTGCGGTCGAGGAGACCGGCTCGCAAGTAATACACTAACAGAGGCAAACAGGAAACTGTCTGGGCATCAACAACAGGAAATAACAGAACGTTACTTAGATACAAAGTTGTCGTGCATAGCCTCAGGTTGAGCTAGTGTCTGAGTCGGCTGATTTGACTACACAGAGAGGAGAACAGATTTAAAATGGAAGCAGCAGTTAATCTCGTCGGGGTTCAGGCCTCTCTGTCAGAAAGTGGCCATAGTCTGCCCCTCCCAGCCATCTGCCTTCCCCAGTACCTGCCGGGGGTTGAGAGTGGGGAGGGGGGGGGGGGGGGTTCACCTCAAACTGGGCCAGCACAGTGCCGCTGCTGAGCCCGTCCTTCAGCTGTTCCATGGACTCCCTCCAAGCCTCCCCATCCAGCAACGCGGGGTCTTGTGCACACTTCTCCGGGATGTACTGGAAGTCCGGCTCTGCATCCAGCTTCTCCTCCACCACGTCGTACACGGCTGTGGGGGAAGAGACAAGGTCAATACCTGGGTTAATTTGGTTGCACTATCAAACACCTGGGCCTCAGCGATCGCTACCAGGAACCATGGAACACACCCAAAGAGCTGGCCCTCAGCGATCGCTACCAGGAACCATGGTAGACACCCAAAGAGCTGGCCCTCAGCGATCGCTACCAGGAACCATGGTACACACCCAAAGAGCTGGCCCTCGGTGACTGTTACCAGGAATCACCGTAGATATCCAAAGAGCTGACTCTTACCATTGGGTCGAACCAGCAGCATGAGCTCTCCAGAATGGCTCTCACAGCTGGCCTTAATGAAGATGACCACCTGGTCATGTGTGTGCTCCGAGATGTCCCGGCCATTGATCATCACAACCTGGTCACCCTCGTTCAGGCGTGGCACACAGAGATCAGCCTGGAGTGAGATAGAAGAGTCATAACAGGCTGCTTTACTTCTGTCCTCAATCACTTCATCTTACTCTCCTCCATGCAGTGAATCTTCTGACTTGCTCTCTTGGTTTCTTTCTCTTTCCTCCATTAGGACAACGAGAGTTTTAAGAATGATCAGGTTCTGACTCATTAAGTAATGAAAAAATCAGCAGTAACAAATACCAACATCTGATAAGAACACAGTGTCAAGCTGGCACTCGACACTCAAAATACCACGAAACCAAAAGAAGCGGGGGGGCAGGGGTGGGGGCGGCCAGAGAAGAACAGGCGCTCTGATCACGCCGCTACCAACTGCGCTCACTTCCCGAAAGTCTACACAGTGACACAGATTATAGATCCACAGAGATGTAATCAGCTGCACTGTCAGGAAAAGGGTGATCTGAACAGCTCCACCTGTCATTGCAGATGTGGACGGGAGGCGTCTGAACATTACCAAACATCACTGACAGCCAGGAGCAGCACACACCTGTCAGCTGGGGGGGATTAGATCCCTCTACCTACCGGCGTTCCAGGGGCCACCCGGGACACGATCACAGGCATCTTCTGGTCAGAGCCACCCTGAAGAGAGGAATGTAACGTTAATGCTGATATAGGACCACAACTGGGGGGGGTGGGAGAGGGAGGAACCAATAAAAGCCCCGTGAGGAAGGAGCCAGACCTTGACGTTGAAGCCAAATCTTCCATTTTCATCTGGCCTCATCTTGATCAGGACCAAGTTGTCATGGGGGACGGCACCGTTCAGCTGGGGAGGGGGGCGAGGAAGATGCGAGGGGGTGTGAGAATCAAAGTGTCACTTTGAAAAGTTCAAACTGCGGGCGCTTCATGAAACCGACTGAAAGGTTAAAGGGTTGAATCCCAGGAGAAACTCTACTGTCATGCAGGAGGGAATTAAAATATTCCACTGTAACGACGGCCAGAGCATCCAGTTGCTCACGGCAGCGCGCGGGGGGGGGGGGGGCTCACCATGGCCTTGTCCCCCGTGACAGGGGTGTCGAACATCTCGCCAACGTGGTAGTCCAGCTCCTGCTGCGACTGGGACAGGCTGCTCTGGGTGTAAAGGCTCCGCCTGGACTGTTTGGGAGGCAGGGCTGGGGGCTGCCCGTCCAATATGGCGTCGGGGGATCTGGACACGTGCAGACATACCCACAAACACAGTGTCACCCGCAATTGTAAAGCTGCTATTTTTATTTATTTATTTTTTTTGGGGGGGGGGGGGAGCTGTTTTTGCCAGGCTTAAGGTGGCTGTATACTTCAGATGGAATCAAAATCGTATCACCACGGTGATTAAATAGACTCACACACTCATCACAATACCTTTATCTGTGCTCTGTATGTGGGTCCGCTGTATCAAAAACACCCTGCGGCCTCTGGGGTTCTGTGCCCCATGTGTCCGAATGCGCAGGACACAGCCAATTGCTTAGTGGACAGAGACACACACACTCTCAAGGGCAACCTGGCATGCTATCTGCTGAACACGCAAGGGGTTATCTCTCTAACCCTTATAAACAGGAAACGGCACGAGGTATGCATACGTCTATCTGTAGGGGGCGCTAACGTACAGCTAGAGCCACAGGAATGGGCTAGAGCAGAGGGATGATGGAGCCAAGTGACCCAGCACCTACACAAACATGCTTCTCGCCATAACGGCTGTAAACAGGCAAATTCATAAGGCTTTCATTTCATACTGCTAAACAGCCCCAGAGTCGAGCGATTTGGCAGCTGCAGCCTCACACGTCATGATTCAGCAGAAATGCACCAGCTGGTCTAAATATACACTTGCATGCAACACAGAACAAGAGATTGCTGGTATAATTCAAAACAAAAGCAAACCAAGCTAATGCTCTCAACAAGGTAACATGCACAACCTCAGCAAGCTAACACCCACACCGTGCTAATACCCTCAGCAAGCTAACACCCACACCGTGCTAATACCCTCAGCAAGCTAACACCCACACCATGTTAATACCCACACCGTGCTAACACCCTCAGCAAGCTAACATTCACACTATGCAAATAACATACACCATGCTAATACCCACAGCCAGCCAATATCCACACTGTGCTAATATGCACACTGTAGCAATTCTCCCAGTGAGCTAATACCCACAGTGAGTAAGGATGTGCTTGTAGCCCCTAACAGTGACATGCCCCCCTCTATCACCCCCCACTGGCATGGACGGCAGCAGCCACCCTCTTGATAGACAGAGCATGCGGCGTGTGTACGTGCATGGCTCTTAGCCAGACGCCCCCATGTGTAAGTGACTGATAAAAGCTGGGGGGGGGGGTATGAGGTGTGGCCCTTACGAAGAGGAATCCAGGCTGATGCTGTCCGCCTGGGTGGAGGAGGCTGACTTGTGGTTGGCGAAGACGTCACTCGGCGACTCGTGGATCATGTGATCAACCAGGTGTCCGATGGATGACGGCCGTGGGCGGATCCCCGTCTGCGCGTATGGGGGACTCCTGCCGGCAGGATCACAGCGATCGGGGGGTCACGTTCATGAGCGGACACTTGGGAAGGCCTGCCTTCTGGGGGGGTCCCCCAAGCCACTTCTCACCTGCCTCCACCTGGCAAACGCCACTGCCCCAGGCTTCCTCAAGGCGGGACACCCCCCTATGCCCCTCCCTCAAATTACAGTGCAGACCTCACGTATGTACACAGGTTTCGGCATGTCTTCTGAAGTCCCTGAGTGATGTTCACACACGTGTCAGGGAGCACATGTGTGTGTACACATCACCGCGCCCCAGCCCTTGTCAGGCATCCCCGGGACTCACTGGTCGGGGGTCCCAGGCGGGGAGCGGGTGGGCAGACTCCGCGTCTCCAGCCGCTCCTCAGACACAGAGTTCCGGCTGACAGTTTCCCAGTCCATGCCGCTCAGCAGATTCTTGACCAGCGGCTTACTGGGAGACCTGCGGGGAGAACTCAGGGGTCAGGTGGCGGCACGCAAAACAAAGGGCGTGGCCAGCTAGGGGGCGCCGGCGAGGCTGCAGGGCGACGTCACTCGAGGCGGCATCCGTCACACTTTATCTCACACCTCCAGGTTTTGGTCTTTGAACCGACCGACGTGAGTCAGCTCGCAGCGAGCTGTGAGAAAGTGAATCATTGCTGTCAAGGGGTCGTCCAGGGTCCACGGCTCAAGCCGTCAGCAGTTTGTCTAGAGCGGCCCCTCCCTGGTCTGCGGGTCCTGGCCTGCCACCCCCACCCAGTCACTGGATAAGACTATAAACAGAGCCTCCAGATGTGACGGGCCCCCAGAAGCAGAGCTGACAGAGTGCATCACACGGAGAAGCAGGTGGTTTCAGGGGAAGCCTGCGACACACAGCGAGCTCCTAGCATTACGCAAACAAGCCAAACGCTTAAGAATCCATCACCAACAGACCAGCTCAACTCAAACCCCACCCAAGGACGAGGCTACACAGTAGCCCCCTTTTTAAGAAAACCCCAATAACCCACTGAGGCCGGCGAACATCTTGATGAAGCTCTAGCCCCCCCCCCCCCCGAGAAGGAACCGCAGAATTCTGCCGTCAAGATACGGATCGATCCCGCGATTACTGACCCTTCAGCACGGGGAATGTGCGCAATATCACAAGTGAGACAGCCGACAGCAGCACTCAGCCACGTGCTCACGCCAGCCTCCATCGCGGAACAAGATTCAAAGACAAACAGGAAACCTCAGCGTTTATAACTTACTCAGAGGTGCAGGTGAGCGCAGACCTGCCTGGAAAATCACGCCAGCGAGCCAGCGAGCAAGTCCACAGTGTGACCCGGCAGCGGATCCCGGTCACATGACCTCCCCCACGACCACCGTGTCCCGAGAAGCCCCCTGATCGCGGCGGTACATTACCGCTCGCTGGAGCGGTGGCATGTGACCAGCAGCATGCTGTCCCTGCGGCTCGGAGCACGACGCTGCTTTTAAGAGTGGGGCCCCGCCCTTCCCCCACCCTGCTGGTGTTGGTTAGCAGCACGTCTTCCTGTGCCGAGTGCCGAGCGGCCGTCTCAGAAGGGCCGACTGCACCGCAGCGCCAGCCCCCACCTGACTGGCTCGTATGGGGGAGGGGGATCATGAGCCTCAGCCCCTGGCCGTTTCCCATGATGCATTACCTGGCAAACACGCGATCTTTGACAGCCTTCTCCTTGCCATACTGCACCGACTGCACCTCGGTCCTGCCACTGCAAGAGAGAAGCAGGTGGTTAGGGACATCGGCGAGGACATATAATGAAGGCTCTCCTGTTACGACATTGCGGTACTTCAGACAGCATGGTATATCCCCCCCCCCCAACTGAAAGGGACGCACGCTGACTGTAAGGCATGGCTTGGCATGACGACGACCGTGACAGTACATCTT